TTCAACAGAATCTTACCCAACACAATTGTTTCATGCAGTTGTCTACACATTAAACAAGTGGTTCCTAAGCTCTGGTTCGCCAGATATTTTGGACTTCACCTCCCAGATGTCTGAGTCAGTATGGTCAATGCACAGAAATTCTGGGAACTGAATTCCCCAACATCTAGAGAAGCACAGTATGAGAACCACTGCTCTGGATCTCAGAGTACTAAGTAGGTGCCCTCCAAAATATTTTATAATGAGTTTGCCAAATATTTTGCAGAGAAAATTACTTGGATTTAATTTGACTTGAATTTCACATTGAAAGTAGAGTCTGAGGAGATAATTGAGGCACATACTTGTCCAGTTTGACAGATGAGTTTCAATTTGTTCAACGTGATAATATGGGCATGTTGCTTGAAGTGAGGCCAACCTCAGTGGATTGAGAGGTGATAAATAAATGCCTTGAAGAAACAGATGAGAATATTATTAAATTAATTCATATAGTACCCATCAACACAGATTGAATATAGATTTTAATCAGTTTTTTAATCAGAGATGTCCCTCTGAAAGATGTGCTTCCAGGTTTGCTATAAGCTACTGACAGATGCCTCCTTCTTCAGACAGTGTTTTAATTTGAATTTCCCAACAACAAATAACTGTCAGTCAAGAGGAATTATGTTCATTAAATATCCTAATATGACCAGCTGTGTAATTAATTGATTGAAAGCAAAGTAATAACAGTTGCAGTCATGAGTACACCTACCCTGAAGTAAGCTCCACTGAACAAAGTACATTTTAATTTCTGAGTAAACATACCCAACACCCTCAAAGCAACTTTAATACCTTGATAGATGTGCTCAACTATTTGTAATGCTCAAAAGATTCAGATGGCATAAAGTCAACGTGACAATTCTTGCTAAACTTGCTAAGTTCATGTTTTTCCATATATCAAATGCTACTTCTATTGTGAAAGATTAATGAAACCAATTTGTGAAACTGTGGAATGTTAGGGTTTTTCCAATGCATGCAATACCTTTCATTAAAAGATACACAGTATAATTATCTTGGTAAATAAATGTTCCAATCCCCTTTGCATAGTCCCAGGAAACTGTAGCTGCTTTTGAAGAGATATGGATTATTATTATTTTGTTTCAACTGAAGTCTGGTTAAGATTGGCAAATCACACAGTAAAAGTGTTGACCCACATTGCAAGATTTTTGCTTGTCCCAATAGCATGCTGAAGAATAGAAAGTAGCACAGTCCAATTTGGAGAGAGGTGGAATTGTGTGCATTGAAGAATGTGGGCAACACTGTCTCTGCCAAGATGTCTGGTCCTATTTTTATTTGATTTTACAATATTTTATACCATTTTCCATAGCTGTCAAAGGTGTTCACAATAATAAAAGTAGATGCAAAGGTGAATCAAATCTAGGGTTCTGAAATCAAGGGTTTTGGCTACAGTTCTCTGGTCCTTGGAGTGATCAGAAAGAATTTCAGGGTCAGAGTGCTTCCTTTAAAAGCATGTTTTCCTTATTTTGTTAGACCTACTGTTTTTTTATTTTATTTGACTTGCAACTGAAGCTGATGTTTAATGTGCCATGTATAATTATATCACCAGATACTGGCTCCTCTGACATCACATTTTCTCTCAAGATAGCCCTGGCCTGGCAACCCTAAATATTGTTGTGCAGCTTCAAGGCATTTCTGACTTATGGTGACCAAAGAAACCTATCACAGGATTTTTCTTGGCAAGATTTGCTCAGAGGGTGTTTGCTTTTGCTTTCCTCTGAGGCTGAGAGAATGTGACTTGCCCAAGGTCACCCAGTGGGTTTTCACAGATGACCAGGGATTATAACCGTGGTCTCCAGATCATAGTCCAATGTTTAAACCTGTCTCTGCCTCTGCAACCATAACCATATAGCTCTTAAATTGATAGACCTAGAAAACCAGATGCTGTCAATGAGGGATTCTTGTTCAACCTCTGGCTGTTACTCTGTGAGGTCTTTCAGGATCTAGTTTTGTCCCCGCTGCTGTTTAATATGTTGGGAGAGGTTAGCTGGAATTTTAGAATTCAGTGTCACCAATATTTTGATCACACCCAGCTCTATCTGTCCTTTCCATTTAACTTCAAAGAAGCTGATTTGGGGCTAAATCAGTGTCAGCTGTCAGTATTGGACTTGGTGAGGGCAAACAAATTGAAAATTAATCCAGACAAAACAGAGGTGCTCCTGGTCAGTCAAAAGGCAGATCATAGAATTGGAGATTACCCTGAATTCCCTCAAGTTTCCACTGCCATGCAGGAACTCACAATCAAAGCACTCCCCACAGAAGGAGACTCCACCAATCTCTGAGGCATCCTGTTCCACTTTCTAACAGCTCTTATCATCAGGAAGTTCTTCCTAATGTTTAGGTGGAATCTCTTTTCCTGTTGCTTGAACCAATTGCTATCAGGGATACGGATTTAGGCTGCTGTGCGTCCTAACTGCAAAAGAGGACAAGGCACTGCAAAATGTAGAACATTCGAGAAAAATGCAGGGCATTACAAAGTAAAACCTACATCAGGTACCATTGATCTAACAGACAATTTTCAATGCCCCCCACAAATGACAACTCTTAAGATTCTGGGAAAAAGCCAGAGGTCCTTTGAGAATTTGTTTTAGCACTCCTTCCAGAGTTGAACCATATTATGTATTTATTTTTTTACTTGTCATGCTTTGTTAGCACCTTTAAAAATACCTAGGTCTATTCACATGCTGTTTAAGTCTGTGTCACTGCCACCTATAGCAGCCAACGAAACTAAGGACAAAGGAAATGAGGATAGCACACGTTCCTTCCCTGTGCATTTACTATTTATGCTTACTATTCACTGTTCAGTAAATAGGACCTTTGGTGAAGTTAGAAGCTAGTTAGAAATGTAATTGTATATGATATATGGTCTCTTTCTCATATATACGGTATATATATATAGTATTGGTAGATGTTTTGTTATGTGCCTTCAAGTATTTTCTGATTTATGGCAACCCTAAAGCAGGGGTAGGCAACCTAATGCCCGTGGGCCGGATGCGCCCCCCCGAGGCCTTTGGACAGGCCCCAGGCCAGTGCCG